GGGTTTCGGGGAGGAAAAAGGCATCGGATGCCAGCCTGCCAGGGGACGAAGCGCGGTGAGGCAGCAGGGAGGGTGGCAGGGCCCAGCCGTCCCCTCCAGAGCCCCCGCTCGCCCAGGACAGCCAGGGACCACGCTGGGAGCCCCACTTGTCCGGCAGGAGAGGGAGGAGAGACGCCCTGGTTCCGCCAGCTGCCCCAGACCTGCTAAGCAGCAGCGATGCTGCAAACCACCCCCTCCATCCCATCCCATCGGCTACAGCGGTGCCAGCGGTCGGCGATTGCCCAGCGCCTTCATGTCCCTGGCCGTGCTGGGTGGGTGGTAATGAGTGACAGGAGCTCAGGGCAAGGTCCGCTGCCTGCCCGTAAATAAGTGCCAGCTCTTCCCGAAGCACTGGCGGTGTCAGGCTGCCCCAGGGCCACTGCAGCCTCACGTAGCCCTAGCCCCACTCAGCCACATACGGGGACACCCCAACAGCCGAAGCATCACCTGGGAGCCACCTCGTCCCCACTGAGCGATGCCCCTGTGTCACCCCAGGCTGTGCTCAGGTGTTTTCAGTGATTGGGGGTGGGAAATAAAAAATAAATTAAAAAAAAAAAAAAAAAGCATCCCTGCTCTTTGCCCACATCCAACCCCGGTAGCGGTCTGCAGCCGCTCTTTGCTCAGCACAACCGTCTTGGGGTTCAGGCCGACCTGGCAGGCAGGGACGTGCCGTCAGCACGGCTGCCAGGCCGACCTGAACCCCGAGATGGTTGCACCAGTTGCTGGTCAGGGCCATCCCCTGTGCCGGGTGACAAATATGCCCCGGGTTTGGTGTGAAATGAGCCTGAGCATGAATGGATGCATGGGGGGACTGGTGTCCCCCGCTGGTGAGCTCGTCCTAAACTAAAATAATAATTAAAAAAACCCCACACATTGTGTTTGGGAAATAAGAAGAATATAATGGATTTGTAAAAGGAAATGGGGAAAAAAAAGGCAGGTTTTTTGGGGCAGTGCCTTTCCTCGGGCAGCAGAGGAGGAGCGTCCCGGTCCGGTGCCTGCCAAGCACCCCAGGGCTGGACTGAAGTTCAGCGGGGGGCGGCTGCCCTCGCCCCCTCCACACCTCCCAGGGCACGGCCGTCACCCGCCTCCCGTCTTCAAAAGCTGCGGCAGGAGGGCTGCGCTCCCCCGGAGCGCCATGGCGGTGGGGCCAGAGACCGGCGGGGAGTGCGGGATCTGCTACGAGGCGTATTGGGGTGCCGGGGTGGGCCGAGCCCCCCAGCAGCTGTCCTGCCGCCATTCCCTCTGCCTGAGCTGCCTGCGCAAGCTGGTGTGCCGCACCGCCGCCGTCGCCTTCATCAGCTGCCCCTTCTGCAGGATGGTGACACTGGTGCCCGAGCCGGCTCTGGGTGGTCCCGGGGTGACGCCGGCCTCAGGGACCCCGCGTGGGGAGGAGGAGGAGGAAGAGGAAGACAGAGGTGCCTCCCCGGCTGCTCGCCAAGCCTCGTCGCGCTCCGTGGCCGTGGAGGTGGCGTGCGCGGCTCACGCTCCCATCTTTGCGGTGAGCGGCATGGTGTCCCCCTGCAGCCTCCACCACGGCTCTGAGGCACCGGGAGCCTTCGTGCTGGGGCTGCCGGGGCGGGGGCTGCTGCTGGACACGCAGCCCCCCCTTGCCTCCATGGAGAACCTGCGCCTTGGCTTTGCTGCTGGCATCCTCGTCCTCATCGTCTCCACCTTCTTCCTGCTCGTCTTCCTCAAGTAGGTCTGGATGGGGGAGAGGGGCTCCCGCCCCGCGCCGCAGCCCCGCGCCGCAGCCCCCCGCCGCCTCCCCTGGGCTGAGGATGGGGCTGGGGGCTCAGCACCTCCCGAGATCCAGCCCAGGTGTGTGGGGGCCGCAGGACGCTCGGCTGCTCCGCACACAAGCCCCGGGGCATCAGACTCTTTAAAAATTAACTTATGGCAGAGTTTTCCTTCCCCCCCCCGTGGTCTGGCTGTGCTTGCATTGTGTTCATCATGTTCCCGGCTCCTCCAGAGCCCCCGGCAGCAGCTCGGCGGGAGCCGCAGCGTGGGGCGAGTCGCAGCACGTGGCTGCACACGCTTCCCAGAGGCTGGAAAATTCCCCTGGCTGCACGTCAGCCCATCTCATCAAGCAGCGAGGATGGGGTGAAAGGGGCTGGGAAAGGGCCCATATTGCTTTTCTGCGTTCAAAAGCAATTACAAAAGCCCATTCCCCTCGAGAAGAGAGCCCAGCGTGGGGCACGCAGAGGGACGTGGCTGCTGGGGAAGGGCACTGCCTGCAGAGACATGAGACATTAAAGACAGACGTTTGCCCAGCGCTGCCTCCGGTTGTTTTTCTGTGTACCCCAGGCAGGGAGAATTCTGCACCTTGGCTCTCAGCAGGCAGCACCGGGACGGGCGCAGTAACCAGGGCCCAGGCACAGGGGAGGGGTCCTCACCTTCCCCCAGCCCCAGGGGGAAGCGGGTGTTGAGCCACACGGCCTCAGCGAGGGCCCTCCCGCCCTCGTACACCCACCTCCTGGCCCCAGACAGCACCCAGGAGCAGGAACAGTCCCTCCGCAGCCCCCCATGACGGTATCTGCCCCCAAGTCCATCACTCCCAGCACCCCTGAGCCTGCCGTCCCTCCAGCGAGCCCAGAGCTTTCTCACGTTCACCCTTCCTGCACCCAAGGAAGGTGCGCACATGGGCTCAGAGGTCAAACGTGGTTTAGTTTAGGTCCTGAGACAGAGCCAGAAAAAAAACCTGTGAGCTACAAGCCTGGGTAGAGGGAGATGCCAACGTGGGGAAGCCGTTGCGTTACCTGCTGTACCTGCTTTTTGAGGGACAAACTTTAAATCTCAACTCCTGCCCCCCCCCATCCATGCCCAGAGCGCACGGGCCCAGCAGGGCTGCGGGGAGCTGGGACGCCTGCTGAGCCAGCTGAGGAGAGGCCAGGCTGCTGCAGAGCCCTGCGAGAGGCCCGAGGCCCCTCTCCCCTAAAGCCCGAGAGGAAAGCAGGTGAGCGATGCCATGTCCCTCACGCCCATCTTCTGTACTTCAGCTCCTCACACCACCACCACCCCGGCACACGGGGACCCTCTCTCCGCTCCCAGCAGAGGCGTTTCACAAGAACGCGCCCAGAAGAGTTTCAACATCAAATTAGTCCTGATCCGAGTCAGAGCTAAGTCAGTTTTCAAGTGCATACCAACAGATCAAGCCAGACTAAAGTAAAACCCATGCAAG